CCGTTACCGGGAGGGCGGCCCGGTCCCGCCTCCGTCCCGGGGCTGGGGAGGACTCCGGGGTCCCGCCCCGCTGCCGAGGCTCTGCCGAGCCCCGCCGGAGACGGCGCTGCTGCCGCTGCAGAGCCCCCGGCTCTCCCCTGCGGGACGCGGGACACCCCCACCCTCCCCGGTGTAAAAACCCTGTGGTTTTTACCAGGAGGAGTGGAGCACACTCTCCTTTACCACCTGCAGAGCTCCAGGGCGTGCGTGTTTGATGCTTCAAAAATAATAAAAAAACTAATGCAGAACAGATTCATCATCAAACGATGCTGGCAGAGCTACAACATCCCAACACTGGTGGTGGGACCAACCGTCAGGGAAGTGTCACCCTGTGCTTGCCCTGTCCTGGGGCCTGTATGGAGCAGTTGACACACTGGAGGGGAGTGATGCCATCCAGAGGGACCTGGACAGGCTGGAGAGGTGGGTCTGTGCAAACCTCATGAAGTTCAAGGCCAAGTGCAAGGTCCTGCACTTGGGTCCGGGCAATCCCAAGCACAAATCCAGGCTGGGCAGAGAATGGATGGAGAGCAGCCCTGAGGAGAAGGACTTGGGGGTGCTGGTGGGTGAGAAGCTCCACATGAGCTGGCAATGTGTGCTGGCAGCCCAGAAAGCCTCCCGTGCCCTGGGCTGCATCCCCAGCAGCGTGGCGGCCAGCAGGGCAAGGGAGGGGATTCTGCTCCTCTACTCCGCTCTGGTGAGACCCCATCTGGAATATTGTGTCCAGCTCTGGAGCCCTCAACATCAGAAGGACGTGGACCTGTTGGAGCACGTCCAGAGGAGGCCACGAAGATGCTGCAAGGGCTAGAGCCCCTCTGCTGGGAGGACAGGCTGAGAGAGTTTGGGGTGTTCAGCCTGGAGAAGAGAAGGCTCTGGGGAGACCTTATACCAGCTTTCCAGTATCTGAAGGGGGCCTACAAGAAAGCTGGAGAGGGACTTTTTGCAAGGGCATGTAGTGTGATAGGATGAGGGGGAATGGCTCCAAACTGGAAGAGGGGAGATTTAGATGAGATATTAGGAAGACATCTTTCTCTCTGAGGGTGGTGAGGCACTGGCGCAGGTTGCCCCGAGAAGCTGTGGCTGCCCCATCCCTGGAGGTGTTCAAGGCCAGGTTGGACGGGGCTTGGAGTAACCTGGGCTGCTGGGAGGTGTCCCTGCCCATGGCAGGGGGGTTGGAATAAGATGGTCTTCAAGGTCCCTTCCAACCTAAACCATTCTATGATTCTTCTACCAGCAGAGGTGGGGATGGGCACTGCCTGGTTCTGTCCCAGCATAAGCTACTGTGAGGTGCCGGCTGCTTTGCCATGACCCTCGGGTCATTCCCCAGGGAGAGAAACCAGGATGAAGCACCACACTGCAGGCCGACGTGCCACCTGAGGACATGAAGCATCCAAAGCTGGATCCAAAAGTCCTGTCATTCTGCTCCACGGGGTGCTGGAGCAGGTCTGCCCCTTCAGTGCAGGCCAGCAAAGTGCCAGAGAGCTTTGGGTGTCGGGAAAGAGAGATTCTCCCCATTCCCCTTGTGTTTCCCCATGCTGGATGTCAGCATGATGGGGAAAGAGGCCACAGCCATCAGGCAGCAAGACCAGTCTCTGGTGGGATGGACCACACTTTAGGAGGCCTCAAAATACCCTAAAAGCTTTGGGGTTCTGGAGTGGGGAAAAGGGCAATTCTTAAAAAATAAACAGAACAGCACAAACTAAAAGGCAGCATTAGCCAAAGCATGTTTATAAGGAAAAGCCTTTTCCCCATGGTGGCAGGGAAGGGTTGGGGGGGAAACATTCTCCCGATGCCCCAGCCAGCCTTGTAGAGGGATTTCCATCTCCCCCCACGGCACAGCTGAACTGACAGCGGGGAGTGAGGTAAGAAGCGGAGAGCGGCTGCGCAGGGTGACAGGCAAGGCTGTGGGCTGTCCTACCACCTGTGGTCACTCTGGAAAGCCTCCGTCCACTTGGAGGTGTCCATGAAGATGGAGGAGGAGCCATGGAAGAGCCAGAGGCAGGGCAGGGAGCCTTCCCGCGTCCAGAGGTCCTTGGTGCAGTCATACACCTCCATCTCCACCCGGTAGTCCCCGTCCATGCCCTTCCAGTGGCCACCGGTGACAAAAAGCCGATCGCCCAGTGGCACCATCCCACCATTCTCATGGAGTGTGTGCAGGAGCTGCACCTGTGCGAGGGGCAGGGTGAGATGTGCAGGGACCCCCCCAAGAATGTCCCGCTCCCACCACAGAGGACCTCAACCCACCAAGCACATCCCCATGACCCGTCATCTCTGAGAATTTTGGGGGGCCCTGGGGCCATGTCTTGCTTTTAGCAGCATCCCCATGTTGTGCTTGTACGGGAACAAGTTTTGCGGTGCTGTGGGAAGCAGGGGAGCCCGGGGGGGGCAGAGGGGACAGGCAGGATTTTGCTGGACAGTACAGGCAGGAGCCCCACAAACACCATGGGAGGGTGGTGCTGGAAAAAGGGGGGGAAGGGGAGTGGGCTTATGCAGTGTGAACGCTGCTTAAAATCACTAACGGCAAAAGCCGTGCTCCTAGTGCGGGTGTGACAGGGGAGCAGGGAAGGAAGGATTGGGGCATCTTCGGCTCCACCGGGGGTTAATAGTGCCAAGGGATGAGTAGGCAGGAGGGAGAGGGGGTGTGAGGGTATGGTTGTGGGGTGCTGGTGGGGAGGGAACTGCTGCCCCACCTCCCCAGGAGGGTGATTGCACCTGGCCACACATCCTGCTACCTTCTGCCAGATGTTAGCCTCTGGGTTGTACACGTGGACCTTCTTGGTGTTGTCTCCGATGAGGTAGATGAGTCCGTGCAGGGTGGCACAGCGTGGGGCCGAGAGGTACTTGGGGATGAAGGGGGACGTGATCACACTCCACAAATCTGCAAGGAGCAGCCGTCAGCAGCGCATCCCACCCTTGGCTCTTGCGGCAGCTGCTGGTGACCGAAAAAAGCCTTGCCAAGCCCGTGGCTATTTAAGGGGGAGTTTGAAAGGGAGGGGACAGAGCAGCCAGGCAGGGTGGCAGTGCGCCCCCCCATCCCAGATGAGGCTCTTGCATACAAAACAAAATGGAGGGGCTATTGTTTGTAGTGGTGGTGTGGGATGGGGGAGACCACCGCGGGCTGTGCAGAGGCTGCCCGAGGAGGTAGCATTGTCACAGGGGCTTAGTTTCTCCATAAGGCAGGCAGCCTCCCCCACCCGTCTGCCCCAGGGATCCTGCTCCGCTGAAGCACAGGTCTGGGCTGTGCTGGATGCCTGTGACTGAGGTCCGTGCTGCTGGCAGCTGTGCTCCTGACTGGGCCCTGGCCCCATGCCCCAGCTGTCACCAGACCCTGGTTGCATCCCATGGGGCTGTGCCTAGGGGCACAGCATGTCACCTGCCTGGGGGTCCCACCTAGTCCTGCTCTCCCGAGAAAGCATTGGTGGGGCGCGGCAGCAGGGCCAGCTCTCACCTTGGATGGGGTTGTAGCACTGCAGGGTGAGCGCATTGTACTTGACGGCACAGGAGCCCACCAGGTAGAGCTTCCCCAAGCAGCTGGCGGCTGCAAAATTGCTCACGTACTTGAGGGCTGGGCTGATGGCGCACCAGCTCTTGTTGTAGGGGTCATAGCGCTCCACCTCCACCACGTCCACTGTCGTCCCTGCAGGGCAGCAGGACACTGCAGCCACCCTGCTGCTCTGGGGACACCCACGGACCCCTGCCCCAGCAGCACCCAAGTGGCCTTTGCAGCCTTACCTCCAATGACGTAGATCTCGCCATTGAGAACGGCACTGGTGTGGTTTGTCCGGGCTCTCAGCATGGAAGCGATGGGCTTCCAGGCGCCATCCTTGGGGCAGAAGCGCCAGGCCTGGGTTGTCGACCACGTGTCATTCTGGGACCCCCGGGAGCCACCTGGGGAGGGACAGGTCAGGCGGGCCACCACCCCCTCTGAGCATAGCCGTCTCTGGGCATCCCTCGCCAGTGGCCCAAGAGGGGAGCAAGGAGAGGGCTCCACTCAGAGAGGAGGGCAGCCCCTGGCCCCACGCCAGTGCCCCATGCCCACATCTTTGCCCCCCATCCTCCATCCCCACCCCTTGGGGACCCCACCCCACACTTGGCAGCCTCGGCACCTACCTGTGACGTACACATCATTGTTCAGAGCCACCAGGGAAAAGCCCCATTTGTTGTAATCAGGAAAGTCAGGCAGAGCCATCCATCGCCCTGAAACCCAGCAGAGCCAGATGACCACTGCCAGCCAGCGATGATGCTTTTATGTTAGCCCTGTTTCACTCTTCCCTGCCCTCCCCTCCTCCCCACTGCCCCTGCTGACACCAGGAGGGTGTTTGGCAAGAGGTGGCTTTGGGGTAGACGGAGGGTTAATTAACACGCAGGAGGAGGTATGCACTTGCCCCATCCCTGCCATAGGCACTTACTGCTTTTGGGGTTGTAGAAGGCGAAGTTCCTGGGGGTGGCTGGCATCTCAAGGCCCCCATCCTCATCCTCACTCTCCTCCAGCACACGGCCAC